TGGCTGACTTTTGAGAGCGTGTCCAACAACCACATCATCAGTATGCTTACTTAAAAGACAGCCGTTAGGGGACCTTAGATCATCGGTGTGGAGAGAGAAAAGGTGAGGGAATAGAATGGAACCTTAAAAAACACCGCAGTCATTGGGAAGGACCATCGATTTCTGCTTGTAGGAAGAGTGAAGAGTGATTTAACCTCGAGAGATTTATCAAACGGTGTTTGCCGCACTTGGAATTTTATTTTCGGAAGCCAAATTTGCAGATCTGCGTGATTTCGTGGCTAGAAGTGCAGTAATAACGCCATCATGCAATCCTTTATTTAAGGGCGCCAAAAAGATCACTACCGGATGGTCATTTTAATTTTAAACGTATGAAAAGATTTTTTCGCGGTTTACTTACTGCTTGTGCGTTCACTTTTTGTGGACTTTCTGTATTTTTGACGATGAGTTTTCATATTCGGTTGCGTTTTCAAACGTGACGCAAGCAACCATCTACATAAAAAGAACGCCCACGCACTCGCTTCTTCTTTTGACGATTTTGATAAATACAGCACATAAAATTCATGCTTACCGGCAGTCGATTTAAATCAAGTAAGATCGTGAAGTATCCCGTTATATGTCAAAGGCTCTCTGAATCTAAACGGGCCTCACCGTCAGCGAAAACCGCAAATATATCCGACAAAAAAGTTTTCTTAAAAAGTGGTATCCTTGCGATTGAATTTGCCAATTCTACTCAAATTAAATAACAACCGAACGCTCTTCGATAAGTGATCTTGTGGGAACCTTTATTCGTCTGATATCTTTCGCAGAGACAATAAGCAAAGGCCCGTTTAATTTAACTAACCACATCTCGAACGATGCAATAAACGGAAAATTACATCCATTTCGCGCAGTGAGATCTTATGACGCATTATACACCCACTCCTGTGTCAGACTTCACATAACACTAATTCTTGGCGGATATCTAGTAAAAAGATAATTAACAACTATTTTTACATAATCAACTGTGCTTATACCGCTTGATTGTGTCTGTTATTTGCATAGCAAGGCATTATGCACTTACCACATTTCAGTTGGCTCATGTGACACGAATTTTCACGTTTTCGCTAGTAGCGATTTTCTTAAGAACATTGTTCTTTTTAAACGGCAGAATAGTACTTGAAGTGTTTATTTTGCCTTTGCATTTGAGTTGGAGTCGTTAGATACGGGTCTGTGGTTGTTGTGGATAAGTTCTGACTGGTTTTTAGACTAATTAGTGATTTTTCATTAATTTAGACATATGTCATGCGTTAGGTCACCTTTGTACTCAACCTCTCTGATGTCCTGCTTATTTCTGAGGTATTCAATGTTCGACGTAGTGTATACTTTTAGCACATCAGCACATCCTTTAAAGCAGACAGAAGGGCAAATCCCTGATCCATCCTAGGTACATGGCATAAATCAAGATTTGTTTTTTTCCAAACCTGCAGTCCGCGTTGCCTCTCCTGTCTATGAGCCCTTGGAGCTACATCCGTGGCGTTTTCAGGGACGCCTCAGTTGCATCAAAACGACGTGATCGTTTCATCAAACACGAATACACTTCAGCCTTCAAATAACCCTGAAGATGCGAGTCGATCGCAGGACTCCGAATTCTGACGCCTCGTTCTAATAGGCTTGCGGTGTTCACTTGTTTTTACGACCTTTGTGAGATGGGGTAAACAACATGAATGTAAGTGAGCAGACCGCAGTCGACTGCTAGACCAGTGGTAACGGGGGCATGCTGTAAATGGGGGTGTAAACCCTGAAACAAGTAAAAACACACGTGCGGAAATGCACTGCTACTTCTTTAAGCGTGATAAAGTTGACGAAATTGGGTGGCGAGATATGTAAGAAGCCAATGGGAACGCCGAAGCAGAAGCATTCTCAATGGGCTACAGTCGTTAGCGGTAACCATGTGCGCACAACCAGTTAGCGAATCAATAATCCAGTCAACGTTCCTGACATAAACGTGTGCGCAATATTCATGCTTATTCTTCGAAGGTAGAGAGGGATTTCTTATTGACTCAACTGCGAAAAAATCGGCGCCTCGGTGGGTTTCGAACCCATGCAGTATGGAAAATGTTTTAGTACAACCAACGCGTCTGTCGAAAAGATTGTGGTGGCCTAAAGACCAAAGTGTTTAAGAAAGTGACGAACACGAAGCAAATACTGAACTTCAACAGTAACCACCTAATCAGTCACAAACGCAGTTGCGTAAGAACGCTATTTCGGCGTGTTGAGACGCACTGCAGTGAAGCGGAAGACAAGGCTGCCGAATCCCAATATCTTCGACGGGTTTTCATAGAAAATGGTTACCCGCGCAACTTTGTCAACCGGTGTATGCGCAAACGAGACAAGAGACAGAACCATGCCAACCCCGGATTCTGGCGAGCGATCCGTACATTAAGAAAGTCTCCGAGGCCGTTAGCCGTCTTCTTGCACAACTTGGGGTTGAAGTTGCGCACAGACCGGAGGCCATCATGAGGCGTCAGGTGATGAGACCAAAAGACCCACTGTCACAGCAAGAAACATCTGGAGTCGTTTACCGGGTCTGGTGCAGTTGCAGACAAAGCAACTACGTCGGAGAAACTGGAAGACTGCTCCGAACGCGAATTGCCAAACACGCGGCAGCGGTACGGAGAAATGACGCCAACTCCCAGGTCGCTGCCCATTAGACGAGAGCCGGCCACACATTCAAGTTCGATGAGGCCGACATTCTCGCGAGAGGGAATAATCGCGTGAGCCGCGAGTTGCTTGACTCATGGTTCACGGGACCTCGATCTATCAACAAGTGCAACGACATCCCCACTCCATATTCTGTCCTGAGGCATAGACTGGCCAAAGCAATTGACCACTCGGGGAGCGCGCAAGACGTTGAGCCAGACAGCCGAGCAATCATCACGCCGGCAATTAACACCTTGCATGCAGGCCATCAAGAAATTAGCGCACCAGCGGGCAACAATCCTTGATGAAGGGCAGCGCGGTTAATTGCTAGAAGTATGCGGTAGCATAGCGACTGCATACTATAAATACTGCAACGTCCTGTGCACGAGTCACCCTTTTCTGCCACTGTCTCTGATGATGGATTCAAGTGAGAATCCGAAACGTCAGGCGAGTAAAGTCCTCGTTTCTTCTTCTGATCAACTACTTCCTGGAACTCGTATCTTCGCTTGTATCGGCAATACTCCCATAATATTTTAGACTCGTTTGGGTGTCGGCTTTTGAATACACTTCATTTCGACTCAGTAAAACATGACTGCTTATATAGCATGTATGTTTCACATTGATCTTTGATGGTCTTATAAATTCAAATAGTTTTTATGGTAAACACACATAAAAATATGCTTTCTCTAGCGTGTGTGATAGAAAATAGCACTGTCTTTACCTTGTATATCAAAATGAAGCGCATATTTGGGTTCTGAAATAGTTTCTTAATTCCTTAATAACATTGGTCCAGATCAATTGCTACATTATAATTTAGTGATTCCATTCTACAAGATGAATGCAGTCCGCACAAGAAGAATCATATATTCCTCTATGTCTTTAAGAAAATACCGTTTTGAGTTCATAAAATTTTGCTATAAATGTAGACTATGTTGTGCATTTCACGCGGAACATTGGTGAACGGAGATGTGTGACGCGGTATGCATGGACATCGCACGGTCTTAAAAATCTCATAACAAGAAACTTTTTTACCCCTAAATACACGTTTTATTTGCGTACACAATGTAAACACAAGGTTTTTTTCTACCAAAAAGGTAAACGAAAGCATTTTTCGTGCGTGTATTCCACAAACAAACTACTTGAATTCATAAGATCATCAAAAATCAATGTGAAAAATGCATGCTACATAAGCAGTCATTTTTTACTGAGTGTGGTTTTTATAGGAGGCCGAAATTAAGTGCATTCAAAGGCCGACATCCCAGCGAATCCGAAATACTATGGGAGTTTGTTGCTTGATAGGCAACATTACAACCCCACCCAAGTAATCCTTCCTAACTTGATTGGCAGATGCGTCTAAATCACAGCATGCAAAAGGACTGAAACATCGGCTTGTTCATGTGTAATCTGGAATATGTCATCTATGTAGAGCCCAAATTCCCGCTTGCACACGAAAAACTTCACTATAATCCGAGAGAACGTCAATTTTAGAGCATGACTTAGAACTCCCCAGTATGATCAGCAGAACACCAGGTACAGAGCTGACGTACGTCGAATACAGAAAGACTGATTGGTAGTTTTATCACGAAGACTTTTAGCGGAGAGGGAAGAGAGAGACTGAACAAGAAAAGGGAATTGCGAACAGCGGAGCACTTTAACAACGGAGTAAACTGAGACGATCCTCAGCAGGGTTTTGTTAAGTACATCCATTGTTTTTGAATGAGCATGTAGGATTTTAATTAGAAGATTTCCTTAACAGAACGAGATTTTTGTAGCAGACTTTGTGGAAACGGTAGGGTGTAGGTCCTCAAGTATTTGATAAATCCAACCTGTGCTCTAAAAACCGTGTAACTGCTAACCTCACTCGCAAATTACCGTTCCTGCTGACTGAAATCACTTGGCCTTACTGGTTGAATGGAAAGTCGCCAGAGCCGGTTTAATAAAAATCCGTCATTTTCGAAAATCGCTTTTTGGCTTTTTTTAAATTATCGCGCTCACTTTACTTGTCGTATGAGAGCTCGCAATAAGACTTTCAGTAATTTAACTGCGACTGCGGAAAAGAAAGATGCATTCATATGATTGCCTTTTGCAGGATACACAGAAAGCGAACTAGTCAGACGGCGCTTACCTCCAGTTATCACAAGGGCATTCGCGCGGCGAATTTACGCGTATGCTTCACAAACTCCCCCGTCCTAATTTTGGGCGGTAAAGATAGGTTATCGTAGGAGGCCACGTCAGTGTGCATCTACTCATTCACTTGCTCCTATGGAGCAGGATACATCGGCCACACAACGAGACGCCTGGTAAAGAGGGTACGTGAACATATGCCCGCCTGGCTAGACAGAGGTGAGAACCGGTCGATTTCGAGTTCTATTGTCACACTTTTAATCGATAGGAATTCCCGAGTCGATGACAAAGAAACATTTCCAGTTGTCCGCCGGACACCAACAAGATTCTCTAAAGGCCTACGCCAATGAATACTTGGAAAACCGAGGCAGTGGCAATACGGCCAGCGAATCCGGTGTTAAGCTGTCGGAAAACCCTGACACAAGCGCCTTCTCTGCCATGGCCAACGCCAACCCCAAGTGATGACGCCATGCCGCCTCAAATCCCTAATTACAGTGATGGGTACTCCGTGTACTCAGTCCAAGAACATCACTCAAGGACTCTCTTACCCCCCTCCCCTAGTTCCGAAGACCAACACACGCCGACCTTGTCATGCGGGAGGCGTGGGGTTGATGAGTGTCAATGACTTAATGACACTTGAGACATCTATATACGCTGTTGATTTTCTGCATTTTCAGTCCGTCATGTAATTGTATTGGCCTGAGTTAAAATTACCAAAAACACGTGTTTGCCAACTTGACTTTTCAAGTGTAACATGAGACTATTTGCGGAATTTACTTTCTGTGTCTTCTTGCATTCCGCCCTGCATGTTGCCCCACCAGTAAATCCCTCTCTACCATCATTCACGGCGTCCACAGGCTACCTCAAGTTAGTTGGTGTCCTACACCTTACTGTTGCCTAATGCGTAACTGGAAACCCCCTCCTGATCAGGACTCATACGCCGTGGGGCAGATCTTGATCCTCGTACTCGTACTTGGTCTGGAGTGCTTGACTCTCTGGGGGCACAGGGCGGTAAATGCCGGTTGTGCGAGTGATAGGTGCTTGTTTGCTAGTATTTATTCCGGATGTAGTTTTCGCAATGTAGACGACCTACTTAAACGACTATAGTAGGCCTTCTTTGTGTGTCATCAACTGTTTCCGCTGGAACTGCCGTATCCCCTAGGCCGTTTGATTCTTGATGACTAGAAACGCCCGTAGTAAAACAGCCTGTGGAGACACCTCCCGTCATAATGCAATGTAGACTGTCTCTAAAGTTAAATAATAGTGCAGCGGGCCAGACGCAGAGAGCGGTTTCACGGCCGCTACCTATCATCCGTACGTCATGGGCCTTATGAAGTGAAATATACAAACATCCAAAGTAGGCGTGTAACCCTCCCTTTTGTGGTTAGGATTTCAGTCGATCTCATTCTGTCTCCAAAGTGCTTAGAAAATTTTCTACTGCGGTTGTCTCTCTCCTGAGTGTACAATAGATTGGTCGCGTTGATCACAGTCAGACTGAAAAGTAGGCTCTCCTCAGAAGTCGCGCGCAGGAGCCATTGATTAGTCGTTCAGCCAGCGAAGGTGGGGCAGTTGACCTTGAAAGTAGGCACTTATAACGATCCCCTGACCCTCTGTATGACTTTGACTTCATGCATTTTTTAAGCCATAAGAGTTTTCTACCGACCCGTTTTTCGGTCCTGTAGAATTCATATTTCAATAAGTTCACATAATCAAATTGCATCTAGTTGTTAAACAATTCAAAGTACTGTTAAGCAAGTGGCATAGTTCAAAATTAATCCTGATTCGGTGTCGTTCTGCCAATCAGAGCACGCAGACGATAACCCTCTGACTGTCCTATAACCGCAGTCGGCTTGCGACTCATTGGACAGCGGTCACGTAGGGAGAATTGGGGGAGATGCTTTTAGGGTGAATCTGTCCCTTCCACTGCATCAATTGACAAGAGAGAAGTACCCCACGTAATTGTCAGTAGACTGTGGATCATGTCATATGGGGTTTTATCTCGGCATGCATTTGCAGGCTGTTGCAGAAATTATACTGTCAACAATAATTACTTCCCACGACCTCGCACCTTAACTCATAATCTGTTGTTTTGTAAAATTTACTTTTCGTTTATTATTTAACTACTGCTCTCATTTCCGTTGTCATGAAATTGCGTAGGATAAGACTTTCGGCCTAAATTCGGGCAATCTTTATGCGTTCATTCATTCTGTCAGCTTATTGTCTAGCGTGCTGGCACACTCATAAGACTCCCTTTACCATAAATCCCGTATGGCACGATCCGCACTCCACTGACAGTTAAGTGGAGTCCTTCTCTATACTGCTGCCCATCAAATTAGGATCCAGGGATTACATAGAGCAATGGAAAATGAAGCCTTCTTAGTTGGCGGGTAAAATTTTCCGCGGTATTTTGTCCCTTTGTCTTCTGACCGTTATATTGCCAACCTACTTTCTATATTAATGCCCGGCCCACCTGGAGGCCTCACGGTTGTGTAAGTGATAAACCCATTAGTTAGGCATGGTGAGTGGGCTATCCAGGAAACCAAGATAACAGTATCCCAACAGTTGCAAATTAGTAAATACGAACGAAGTCGCCAGCAGGTAAAAACGCACGTGCTTGTTCCTTAAAAAGTGTATTTTAACTGATTAAAACAAAACGGACTTAAATGTTACTACAGTTGCGTCTTTCATGGCTATCTCTGTGTGGGTGTCATTCAGAGGGCCTGTTTGTTATGTACACCTTTTCACTAACCGGCAATGCTTGCGATCGTTATCATAAAAACCGTCAGGGGGGCTCTACTTTCCTCTCCTCTTGCTCCCAGTCTTTAACTTCTGGCTCGGTTTTTGAAACTATGGGAACTCCATCGAAGTCGGACTTGAGTGTTAATCTTACGTAAGCCTTCGGCTAACAGTTAGTGAGTCTCCGCTAATGCTATTCCGCGGTTCTAATCCAACGCGTTTAAATTTTACCAATTCCGCCTGTTCCAGACAGGAAGAAGGTGAGTTAAATGCTAGCATGAAATATCTTCAAGGCTAGGGTAACAAATGTCCCTCCAAGTTCTTCATTTCAGCTTCATCAAATGTCAGGCATTCTACCAATGCCTCCACACAAACACACACAATTGTGCAGACTGCGTCGACTGAGTTGGGACGTCAGTCAGTAGCTTTCCAAGCCATGAAGATCGGCGCACCGCGATAGCCTCAAAGTCGGATCACACATGCAGCAAATAAGCAGCATGGCGACGGAACCGAGACGCACACTGCCCACTTGCGTGGGAGGTGGCAGTTGGATGCCTGTGGTGGAGGATGCTTTTGCGTGATGTGGGTGAAGGAAAATGTGGTGGTGTGCTTTAGCCGGCGGTTGTCTACGGCAGGTTTTCGTGAATATGCATGTGACCTAATAGGTTTCTGCGGCGGCTGAATTTGCGGGTGCAGTGAGGGCAGTTGAGGCGGATGCGGCGCGTGTATGTGGGTGGTCCAGGCACAAGTTCGCCAGTTTCTGTGCGACAGATTCGCAATTGGCCAACCAGGCCGATGTGTGAGGTGAATGTACGGGGACAATGTGAACAGAAAAGTCGTCGGTGACAGTGTTGCTTGGCCGTGGTGGTGCTGATGGTGATGGGCGCGCTGGACAGCGGAGTGTGGGTTTGTTGCGGTCAAGGTTGTCAGCTCAACTTAAACCACACACATTACTTTCGATTCGTCTAATGTCAGAAGTCACGGAGAAGTGAGGACTAGTTTCTTCTGTACACAGGGCAGGTTGTCGTAATTTGGCTGTTTGCTTACAACAGAGATAAGAGTCCGTTCATGGAGAGTGTCAGTCGTGGTGTGTTACGCGGGGGTGAAGTCTGCGTCCGTAGGTGGGGGGGGGTGACTGGCTGAGTTCTGGTCATGAGATTGGACGGATTAGGGGGACGCATAATCACAGGAGCTCACAGGTATAAAGCCAGGTCGTCCGACGTGCCTGAGGTGAGGGCAGCCGGGAGTCACTGCAGCTGGACAGGAGGGACCCCAGTTCTAGCCGACGGGGGTGGTCGTGTGTCAACGGCCTTTCAACGATTGTCGTAGCCATCGACCAACAAATGAGCCGGAGAAAAGGGGGACTGGAGCGGCTGCTACAGGTTGAGCTTGGCATCGTGGATGTGTAGTAGGTGCTAGGTGCGTCGAGACTGCGGTTAATTTAGCTCTTGTGGACGCGCATGTGGCCGAATAGACCCATGCGGTGAGTGAATGTGCAGGTGCAGTGAGGGCAACTGAACCGGATGCGAATGTGTCCGTTGGTGCTCCAGGCACTGGTTTGTCAGTCTCTATGCGACGGATTCGCAAATAACCGACCAGGCCGGCTTGTGAGGTGGAGTTTCGGCCGCAATGAGGACCATTATGGATCGAGTCCACATCACTGGAGGGGTTGATGCTTGTTGGTGTGGGTGCGGGGAGTGCGGCAAGTGTCAGTTATCGGCGAGCAGGATGAGGTAGATTTGGACGAGGAGACAGCAGTGCGTGTAGTCCGGGTTCTGCAGTTGGTACGATGATGTCCTACAAGGCCGACTTGTGCCCGAAAAGTCCACTGTCAGCGTGGGCAAGTCGGAGTGGTTGAGAGTTGGAGTTGCTAGGTAGGTCTAGCTGGGATTTTCAAGCTTCGCGTTTAGCTTTGCAATCGGTAATGCGTGTGGGTTTGTAAATTGCTGCGTCCATCCTCACTGCACTCCGCCAGAACGGTCAGTCCTGGGACTAGGTCTTCTTAATTGGGGGGGGGGGGGTATATTTGCGGACGCTCAAGGGAAGTCTTCAGAGCATGAGACAAAAGGACCCACTGTCACGGCAAGAAACATCTGGAGTCGGTTACCGGATCTGGTGCATTTGCGGGTAAAGCAACTACGTCGGAGAAGCTGGAAGACTGCTCCGGGCGCGAATTGCCAAAACGTGACTGCGGTACGGAGAAATGACGCCAACTCTCAGGTCGCGGACCGTTCGACCAGACCCGGCCATACATTCAAGTTCGATGAGGCCGAAATTCTCGCGAGAGTGGATAATCGCATGAGCCGCGAGTTGCCTGAGGTATGGTTCACGGGACCTCAGCCTATCAACAAGTGCAACGACATCCCCACTCCATATTCCGTGCTGAGGCACAAGCTAGCCAAAGCAATTAACAACTCGGGGAGCGCGCAGGCCGGTGAGCCAGATGGCTGAGCAATCATCACGCCAGCATCTAACACGGATAATGAGATTTCAGCAATTAACAACTTGCAGAAGGGGGCAGACGGAGGCTCATATTTTAATCGTTGATGTCCCGTGGCAGACAGGACAGGTCCCTCATGATTTCGTTCCGAATGGCAAAGGTGACGCCTGCATTTCTTCGTTTTGCATTGTGGCGACCGCCCAGAAGAAGGTGTTGCAACGATCTGGTGAAGACCCCCAAAGAAACACCGCCATCCAAAGGTGCCTTTCTGACTGGAAAGACAGTAATATGAGTTTTACGAGCGGGGCCTTAGAATGCATAGGTGTAGTCGGCACCGACCTCTAGTTAACCTTGTTCGGATAAACGGGTCTCGCTGATTGAAAAGATGTCCACCTTGTAGCGATTCACTTCCCGAGCGACTAGCGTCGTCCTTCCTTCCGGTCGATTGCTCTTGGGATTATTCGAAAGGGAAAAGACATTCCAGGCTGCCAGAGT